TGAGGAAAAACTGAGAGAGCTGGGACTGTTCAGCCTGGAGAAGAGAAGGCTCAGGAGAATCTTTTAAATATATATAAATACCTGAAGGGAAGGTAATAAGGAGGACAGAGCCAGGCTCTTTTCAGTGGTGCTCAGTGACAGGACCCGAGGCAATGAACACAGCCTGAAACACAGGAGGTTCCCTCTGAACATCAGGAAACACTTCTTTACTGAGGGTGATTGAGCACTGGCATGGATTTCCCAGAGAGGTTCTGGAGTCTCCAACCTTGGAGACATTCAAAAGCGACCTGGACCTGGTTCTGGGCAACCAGCTCTAGGTGGTCCTGATTGAGCAGGGGGTTGGACAAGGTGACCTCCAGAGGTGCCTGCCAACCTCAACCGTTCTGTGATTCTGTGATTTGTGGTCCGATTTACTGTAGTGTTAAGATTGAAATGGTCTTATTTCAAACTAGTTATTCCAGGCCCCCTTTTAGTCAGTGGAGGAAAAAAAAAAGAAACAAGTATTTGCGCTTTTAGGGCATGATTCATTACACATTGAAGTAGTCATCCAAAAATAGGTCAGATGGGCTGTGCCATAAAAGTGCCGATATGACTGTAAAGGAAACCTGAGGTGACCAGCTTGGTTGGAGCCAGCTACCCTGCAGCTGTCTAGTGTTAGGTAAGATGAATCCCAGCCAAAGATTTAACGGACAAGGTGTACGATAGTCTGTATGTCTGCCCAGCACGCTGCTGACAATTGACCGTGTAGGTGCAAAGGATAACATTCTGCCCAGCTGGGGAAGATGGACAGGATGAGGATCTGAATCAGCGGGTGAGATACTCCATCGCTGTTCAGAGTGTTTTTCTTCAACAGTAAATGGGCATTGAGGTCTCAGAAGGACTCGGCTCTGAGGCAGCTGCTGAAATTGGTTTTTGGTGTGTAGTGAGACATGCAGCCAGTTCTAAAAGGCTGTTTTTAGATCATGGACATATCTGCCAGCACAGATAAGGAGCTGCCTGCCAATTCCAAGCATACACACACGACATTTACTCAATCACACACAAACATAAACAAGCAAATAAACAACTCCCCCCTCCCATAAACTAATCAAACTTTTTTTCCTTCAGATGGAAAAGGAAGAAAGAAACGGCCTGCTATTGTTTTGGTTTGTGTGGTATTTTTTTTCTTCTTTTCTATTTTTAAATACAAGGAAGGGCTGAGATTCTATATTGAAGCTGGAGCTATTTAGATACATAAATAAAATATGCAGATTTAGGACTTAGTTTAGCACTGTCTATCTGGAAAATGAACAGAAATAAAATCATAAAACTTTTGCCAGCTTTGTTAAATGAGATTGGAATTCATCCATCCTGTGGGGGCCTTCAATCTTCACACTATGAATCAACTAAAATCAATGAATGTTGGGCTTAATTGGCCAAATTGATTGTGTATTAAAACTGATTTAATTACTTCATTGTCATTATAGTAGGGATAAATTTGGCTAAGTCACTTTGGTTTAAAATGAGAGTCTTTCTGTAGAAATTTAGGAGTTTTGGAAGGAGTTGGGGAATGACCTTTTTTAAGATTCAGAATAATGATTGTTTTGGCTTGATAAGCCTGGCCCTATTTTCCCTGCCTTGAAACTTTCTCTCTTCTATTGAAGAACCTTCAGAATTTAATTTAATTGAAGAAAAAGTGCCGTGAGACTTTCTGTGAGTATTCAAGTAGTGGATAACATGAATTTTTAAGCTGACATAACAAGTCTTAACATGGCTTCTGATTCATTCCTGACATAGCCAGGCATAATACTGGAGATGTTGGAGTATTTGGAAGATAGCACTGCCAGAGAATGTGCCACAAATATAAAAGAGAATAATTAAATTAGATCCTCTCAGGATGAACATGCTAAACTGAGACCAGAGTGCATGTACAGTATATTAAAAATAAATACTTGTACTGCACAGGCAGTGATTCAGCTGTCATTTGAATTCAGTGAAACTTTTCATGCAACCTGATTTTAGTAAAGCTACTCACGAGAGTAAGTTACTCTCATACAGGAATGGATTCACAGATTTGCTGATGTATTTCTGGCCTGAAGTCAGGAAGGTGCAATAAGACTGAAACCAGCCATTTTATTTCTTTTATTATTTGTGGTTCAGTCAGGTGGATGGAGTTCTCTTTTTACTCCTTATGTAACGTTGAAAAAGTCATTTCACCATTGTGTGCCACAGTTTCCTTAGTTACAAGTATGAATAACAGTGCATAACCATCTTTGAAAAGAGCTTTGAGAATTGTAAAGTATGAGAGTGAAAAGTATTTGTATTATTTTCACTGTCAGAATTCACCCAACGTCAGGTTTGTCCCCTTTTGCAGTACTTATACATAACTCTGTCCAACTGGTATTTTGGAGGATATAAACACATATCCTGTAACACTGAAAAATAACATTATTTAAGATGACCCAAATGGCATTATGTTAAACAGCACGTTAGAATTAATTCAATTTTATCTGTTTTTTAAATGGATATCAAGAAGAACTTTGTGTCATTGATTTTGTTTATGTTGTGACTATCTACATCTCTGAAGTTCACTGAATAAAATCTCTTGAGCTTTGGGCCACTGCTTTGTGATGCCACCCATACAACAGCAAAATGGTTGGGAATTCCAGCCCACTGAGTGGGATTCTGTTCCAAACTAAGACCTTTGCGTTCGGACATCTCTGTGTGAAATAGGGATCTGTGCTGCCATTAGAGTCGATGGAGGTCTGGTTAAAACACTCGGTAATGCCTCCAGAATGACCTGACCAGCTAATGGACACTGGTTTCAGCCATCTAAGTAGAGATATCTAGCATCACTTTTAGGTGGTGTGAACCTGGCCCGGAGCTGTCATTCAAGAAAGGTGTGGGTCTCCTCTAACATCCTTGTCACAGCTGCCTGCCAAATGTAGTTGCCTTAGACATCCTGGAGCACCCAATGGTGGGAGATGACAGTAAGGCAACTGTGTCCCTCTATCCAGGCTTGATTCAGTCACCATCATGTAGGCTCCTAGTGCCATTTGAGGTGAAAGAGGGTACCTAGGACGCTTGCATGAGACTGGCAGGTACGGTTAAAACTGGGAGAGAAATATGCCCTTCTGGAGTGGCAGCTGAGAGCCAGCAGGATACTCAGAGCTGGCCAGAGCTGGGTGTGCGCCTGAGTCCCTGGACTGAGCTCTGCGGGTCTGACCTAGGTTGTGCTGAGCTGCTCTCCAGGCTCCACTGACTGTATCGACTAGATCGCTGTTGGTTAGAGTGGAAAGTCATCTAGCTCATGTGAAATTGTCTAAATTTGGGCATGTTAGTCCTGAACAGAGTCCTACCTTTTTTTTTTTTTCTTTTTTTTTTCTTTTTTTTAATTGCTATTTTGGACAGAATAGACTAGAATAGAAAATAGAATAGAATAGAATATTTTAGTTGGTAGGGACCTACAACAATCATCTAATTCACCTGCCTGACCACTTCAGGGCTGACTAAGAGTTAAAGCATTGTTCTAACCTGCAAGTAATCCTTTTCTAAAATATGCCCTATTTCCTTTTATAGCACGTTCTATGTATTCTTTTTCCTGAAGATTTTTTTTTCTTTAATAAAGAACAGTAAAACATCACTTTCCAAAGTGATGTTTCCAAACATCGCTTTTTGCTGCAGCAAAGTGAACTACATCAGTGACTGTCAGGGAAAGCAAGTATGGCAAAAAAAGTCTGAAAATTCATTTACTGTTCTGCATACACTGAAACCGTGCAGTGCCAAAAGGCCACAAAATGTCAGATGTGCTTGTGTATGAAGTTAGTATAGTATCAGCTTTGAATAAAATATGACTTGCAGACTATGGCATTAGGCAGATAATGTAGGGTTATAAAAACACTTGAGGTCACATCTCTGGTTCATCTGTCTGGAAATGAGGAGAGGTGGTAGAAACAGTCTTTTCCTTGCTCTCCTTGAGCACATTGCTGCACTGTCCAAACAGGTACTGGGATATTGGAAGTAGGAGTCCCTCTGGAGACCTAAGTCTGTTGCAATAAAATTTTGTGACAAATGTTTTCTCGAGTAAATTGACTTCATCCTTCTCTTGATCCCAGCACTTCCCAGCATGGGATATCAGTGGAATAATTTCTACTCTGGTGATAGATAATGCCAATGAAATTTTATTGGGTAGGGACTGCAGAATCTGGTGCATGGTATAAACTCAACAAATCTTTATGGGGCCATGCCCTGTAATCCACTAGAGAAGGCCTGCTTGGCATGAAAAGAAGTTGTTGAAAAAGCCTTTTTCTTGTGCAGTGGGTCCTTGGAATTTAAATGTATTATCTCATCACCTGCCAAAATGGCCAAAGCACATGTACGGAAAAGTGTCGTCTTTTTTAAAAAAGATTGAAGTTTCTTTATCAAGTGCTGGGAGGAATTGCATGCATTTTTGATATATGCAAATAAAATTCATCTGAATAAATAAAGCACTTAAATGCTTCATTTAGTGTTGTTAAAGGGTAAGACATAAATTTTTAAAGGTAACTGTATTAGTAATAAAGGTTAGGATTTTTCAAAGGCACCTCTGAAATTTGGCTATCATGTTTTAAAGTTCTGTAAAAAAAATCTCAGTCTTCATTTGGTAATGTGACTTATAGTAACTTCCAAAGTGTTGCATGTGTTTCCATCCCTGCTAGCAACCAAGGAAACATTTACGACCAAGCCTGAACTTTGGAAGTCCTTGCTGCTACTGTGTGCTCCGTAATGCGGTTCACATGGACGGACAGAGCCACAGCAACTCCATCTCCATCTCCACTCATATTGATGCACCAGCTGCAATAATATTTCAAGTCAATCCCTGATTAGTTAGGGGAAGGTCAGCTATTTCTGACTGGCCTCGCCCAGAGAGAGAACCAGAATGAAGCTCTGCCATCAGTGTCCTAAAATAGAAGGCCTTTTTCATCTGTCAGGCTTGAGTCAGCCACATGGAACACAAATTAGGAGACACAAATCGACTTGCGGGGCATTGAGAAGAAGGGCACAGGCAGAAAGTCAAGTGAAAAGAAACTTCTTCAGATATGAGCTGTATTCTCCAGACAGCTTTTTAGTAACTTGCCCAATAATTTTATTTATTTTACAGTTTCTTCTAAAGTAATTAACCATTTTTTTAAAAGATAACTGTGATAATGAAGCTGAGTGTGGGGATATTTTTTGGAGGCTTCTTTGCAGCTCTGGGGGTTTTGCTTTTTTTGGTGGCATTTGGAACTGATTATTGGCTTCTTGCTACAGAAATAGGAAGGTGTTCAAAAGCACCTGAAGATGCTAGGGTTAGTATGGACATTTTTATTTATAACAAGAATTATATATGTAGGTTTCTTGGATGTGTTTATTTTGTAAGAATTTACTTCTGTATGAACTTTTGAATATACTCATTTTGACCTTCTGGAAGCTTATAAGCCTGCATCAAAACCTCTTGTAACCAGTTGTAATCAACTCTAAAATGAATTTGTCTTTTGTGATACTACTTTTGGAATATGACATTCTTTCAAAGGAAGTATAACAGTTTACATATGCTATAGCTAACCTGTATTCAGTCAGGCTGTGTTTCATTATGATGGTGATGTTTTTTACCTCAACATCTAATTTCAGGTGAACTTGATTCTTTCAGCCATTTGAAAATTGTATGATAATGGCTTTTTTTTTTAACCCTATAGGGAGAGAAAGCCACTTTCCATCATGAAGGTTTCTTCTGGAGGTGCTGGTTTAGTGGAAATGTAGGAGAGAATAATACCAGCATGTGGAATTTCTGGTATAGTAAGTAACTTTTTCCTTTTACATTGTCTACATTAGTTTGTTCTCAAAGTTTTTGTGGTTTTTTTTTTTTTCTGTCTGATGAATTACTGGATTTCATATGGCTTCTTGACTGATCAGATTCTTCAGCTACCCTAAAATAAATTCTTGACAAACATTTTTGTAATATGTACTAAAGGAAACCCTGGGACAAAATGATACATGTTTAACTATCAACTTGTGCTGTGATAATTACGTCTGCCCTGTTAACCTGAGTCCATTCTTATCAGGACAGTCTCTTGCCACTTGGTGTTAAACAGACTGTTTATTTCTGAAACGTAGGAAAAAAGAGCTTAGTGGTTAGGATGATCCATGAATTTTTGCTTGGAAGGTTTCTCCAATTAGCTCTATGAGTGGGTTAAGGAGGGCATGGGCAAATCCACTGTGAAAATGTTGTAGGACACATGTTCTCCAGAAGAATTCCTCTACTAAATTCATAGGTGACCTTTTACTTTCTTTCACTACATGCCAGGATTTTGGGAAATCAGATATTATTTTACAACCAAAATCTCCCATGAAGAAGAGGTCAAGCAAAACTTCTTTTCCTGTCTTTGACCCTTACAGCTCCCTCTCCTTATTGCATGATTTCCACAATCCTTGTGAAAAGCAGGTGCCATCGTACAAATTTGACTTCAATAACCCATATTTTGCTAAATATATTGCTTGGTCTTAGGTGGCAAATGTAATATTCACTGTAGTTAATTTCCCCTTGTTATTTATCTGGAGAATTCTGTGGCCAGGAATCTGAAATTTAAATGTGGTTTAAGCTAGAGTCAGCTTTTATCTTTCACAAGGAAGAAGGTGATGCTTTTATAAGCATTTAATATAAAGGGTGAAATTACCCTTCTCTGGGGTTATTGATTCCATAGAGTAAACTCATATTTGTTGAGACTATAAACTTTCTGAAGATGTTTGATATTTTTCATTGTTCTTTCACAAGAGAAAAAGTAATTTCCTGGGTCTTTTTTTTTTTTTTTTTTTTTTTTTTTGTGGGACATGCAATAATGAGAGAGACATAACTAACCCTCACAAGAGAAAGGTACATATGCATATAAAAGCATATGTATGCATTGCATATAAATTGCAGTGTGCCTTCAGCAAGGCTGCTTTACTGTTCCTCTAGTACAAATCTGTGTTGCCCTTTAAGGAATATCCTTGGCTGGATATCAAGGCTGGTATCTCTTACCAAACCAAAACCCCTGTAAGCTCTTACCCGGAAAAGAACCTGGAATCTTGAACTACAAAACTCAGTTTGCCCATTTGAAGAACAGGCTTAAAATATTTTATTGTTGAGGTAGTAAAATACTAATCTTCAGCTTTCTTTCACTTTTAGTTAACCAGTCACCCTCTAAGAATTGTACACACGCTTACCTGTCACCATTTCCTCTTATCCGAGGTGAACACAACTCAACCTCCTATGACTCTGCAATCAGTAAGTATTTTTTTGGCTGCAAATGGATACAATGCCTATAGTTTCAAGAAAAAAATTTGGAAGCTTCAGTATAAAACAGCCTTATCATTCCACACAGTTTAATTAATAGAGTTTTGGTGTTTCATACTTCTCATAATTTTACAGCATGCATATTTAAGCCACTATTTAGCAAAGCACTTACATGAATGGTTAGCTATAAGCGTGATGGCAAATGGAAGTAATTTATTAAAAAAGGGACATTTCCTTTTTAGTACTTTTTTCTCCGACATCATAAAAAATATCTTCCTTGGGCTGAATGCATTAAACAAGTAATTCTCATGTATTCCAATAAAACTGTTGTGTGTTTTTTTTTTTTAAATAAATAACAACAAGTGGAAATATGTTGCATTTTTACTTTATGAGGAAGGAGGAGAGGGACCTTGATGCTATCTAAGTTTGTTCAGCTAACTCAGACATCCTGCACCGATTGCTGGATGTACCAGCTTCTCTCCGTTGACACTATAGGGAGCTGAGGTGCTGAAACTGCCCTGAACAGTGTGTGCCATACGTGAACAATGTAGCCTAAGTCTGTAGCAATGGACAGTTTTGTTTTGTGAACTGAGCTCTTTTTAAATATATATATATATATTCTCTATAATAGTTCAAAATACGTAACTATGTTAAACTGAGATACTAACACTGAGAAACTCTACTGCTGTAAAGGAGATACATATGAATATATGTATATGGAAGATACACAGTAATGGAAAACCTTATGTTTGAATAATGCTTGGAAAGCTCTGTTTTTACAACTCTTAAAAACTACTTTAAAATATTGGTCACATTTCATCAGATCAAGGGCTTTATGCAAACATATTTGAAGTAAATCACTTCAGATACGTATTTCATATGATTTTTTAAATAACCAGTGATGTGTGGATGCTGCATGTGTCTGAGCTCGCTGACTCAGTGACTTAAGTGATCCCTTCCTGTCCTGAAGCTGTAATTATGCCTTTGCTAACTTTGAACTGTCTTCAGAATCCGCTTTTTATGCTGCAGACATGAAAAAGAAAGTAAGTTGGACTGATAATAGTTTTTTTAATCTTTAGAATTTATGAACTGTTTGTCCAGGAAGAATTCAGACCTAACCATTCAGAGATCTAATCTGTAACTTCACAGCACATCTAGAACAGTTTATCTTTCCATTTGAAAGTGACAGTCTCATCAGCTCCTAATAATCTAGACAGAGTTTGTATTCCACCATTCACTCATACATTCACAAAGGATCCTCAAATTATATCGCATGATTACACAGAAGTGGACAAACAAAGAATAAGGAAAGGAGAAGGAATATCATCAAAAGTTTAATTAATTTTAGTTAATGTTTGCCAAACGAACCACTGCTCAAATATATTTTTCCTATCTATATTTCATATTAGGAGATTAAAAATAGGCAGAACTGTACTTTAGCTGCTGGCCCAGGTAGAGCGTATTCAGAACCATTCCTGCTATATAAATAGATACAGTTGGATTGCTTTTGAGCTCATTAAAACTGAAGAGGGTTTTTCTAATGCCTCCGGTTCATTTTCAGCATCCAAGCTGAGTTATTTACTAGAGCAAGTATGCTTGTTCAAGAATCTTTCACAAGTTTTTATGAAGAAGGTTATGTCATCGTCTCTTCTGTTAGTTCAAAACTTGTTTCTCCTTTAGTCTAGTTTGACAGTCCTGCCCATGATATTTGGCAAACAAGTTTTTAAAACCTCGCTGCAAGTGCCGTTGCTAAATTGAGAAATGCTAGAAGGTTATCTTCTTCTTCTTGATTCAGAGTGGAGGAAATGCTTCTCTGTAAAAGCCAGTGGCAAAAGCCCTCAGTTTAGTTTAATGAAGAACAAGATTTCATCAACTATTTGTATATCCAGTTGGCTCCATCTAATACCTTGCATCAGCTAAACATAGAACAAGAGGACAGTACCAAAAGATTGAGGTTATTATCTGTTTTTTTTTTTTTTGGTTCTGCTACTGATTCTTGACACAATATTACCATTCTCATAGCTTTCTCAACATATTCACTTTTGGGGATTAAAAAAAGGAAATCTCCCACACAGGTTTATCACTATGTTTTTAGTGAGTCCCTCAAGTCCTATATTAATTGGCAGTGGATAAGAAGAAATAGTATGTCATCTGAAAAATACTTAGTTTGCTCTTTCATAGAAAAATAAACAGCTGAATAAAAAGCTTTAAACTTCATTAGAAAAATCAAACATATATGTAGAACACATTTTCCTAAAAATCTCCAACTTTCTGTTAACAGAACTGTTAGTTTCTGAGCAAGCAAAGGCACGTGACATCTTTTACAGACTGTTTGGCTTAAGAGGCTTTTGGGACCTTATCAGAGGAATTTGGATTTATCTGCAGCCCCTAGTGGAAACACAAATGTGGTTTGTTGGTGGAGTGCCATGTTACCATCCAGTTAGAAGGGCTCAGGCAAAGATAAATTTCCCGAGGAACATAAAATCTCTGATGATTTTTGAGTGCAGTGTCTGGACCAAGTTCTCTGTTGACATAACTCCTTTGGCTTTAGTATCAGTAGGAATTTGGCTCAGAGCTTTTCTGGGCCAGAAATCAAAAGAGGCTCAATCTATCCCCTCTTAGCTTATTTACATCTTTTTGTATGTTGGTTTTATGATGTTTGTGTGACAGTTCCCGAAAGACTCAAAACACTAAGGACCTTGGAGTTTAGTGTTATAGTACACCTTACAAAGCTTTAGACCAAAAGCATGGTACATCTTGCTGTCCCAATCTAGACTATGAGCTCCTGGTGTCAGGAATTATAGCCTTAGATGGGAATGTAGAAACGGAAAAGCCTGCATTGATGCTTATACTGGAGATCTAAATGCATGTTTTAATGTCTTAGATTTCTTTTCATCATTACTGTCAGATGCATGATCAGCTTCGAAGGGTTAGATAGCACTGCTTTGAAATTGCAGCTTGCTGTGTCTTTTAATCACAGTTAGAATGGTTTTGTTCATTCACTGGTTTTGTTAAATACCTTGGTGGAGTGGGGAGGACTTCATCTACCTGCAGCGTAAGGTGTGGTCCACAGCTGTGCTAACCATCATTTATGGTTAATGTGCTTAAAGAAATTTGTAGGCCATGTCATTTATCTTAACCTGAAACAGGCATCTGAATGAACTCGGGGGAAGCCTGACTCTCGTGACTTTCTGTGATGGTACAGTGGTTTATAGTGACAGCTATTACAGCGTGCAGCTCTTAAGTAGACTTAACATGTCATTGTGTTGGCAGCAGATTCATTTATATGATGATTCACAAGCGTATGTGCAACAAATTACAACCTTGGAATAAAAAAAAATAATGAAATGAACATATACAATAAAAGCGCCACAGTAGTGACCTCTACATTCTAAACCAAACATACATTTGTATAATCATAATCAGATTGGTTATCCCGTCAGGGTATTTTGAAAATATAGTAGTATAGTACTTAAATAATAATTCATTGCTATCTAGATTAATGCGTGGTATCATGTCATTAGATTGCTTAACACTGACATTCAAGGACTATCACACTTTTATAAATTTCTTTTGCTACAGGACAATACTAGGCCTGTTTTTGAAAAATGTACAAAGTTCTTAATAGTACAAGTAGTCCTGTTCGCTATAGTGACATTATTCCTAAGAAGAAGTGGTGTAAAATCTAACATTTAGTTAAGTCATTAATTTTATTTTTGAGGTTTTTTTTTTTTTTTCCAACTGTATTTGGAAATAAACAATAGTTCCTTAACTGCTGTAATTGCCCCAGTGCCTTCTGAAGCTAAATTGGAAGCCATTTAATGGGGCTGCGCTGACACATTAGTTTAATACTCTGATTTGTAGCTGCTAATACTTTTTTTCCTGACTATTAGTATCTTATTTTGTCCAGTACTGGGCACATTGCCAGCATTTGAAGTAGTGCCTAATATAATGTACAATACACAATATTTATAGGACTGAAGCAAAATTCTAGTTCAGCAACTGTTAAATCTAAAATGGTGTGATCAAATTTATTGGGAGGTTTGTTACTGGGTTGAAATTAACCTAAAGTAATCTAGAAAATATCAGCAATGAAATCTGAAAATAAAAACTACAGTGACATGTTAGCAGTAGCCTATTTCTAGGAAAAAAAATGCTGTTGTGTAGTACAGTCACATAATTGGCCATGAGACTGTAATACAGTACATTTGCTAAGGGAGAACTCCCCAGCCACCAAGCAATGATAAAGCAAGAAGTATTTAAAAAAGCAATGTATTCACACTGAGACTATTGTATTTGTTTTACTGTTAAGGTTATTTAAAAAAAGATTATTACTACTAAGGGATGGTAAAGGGTACTGAGTGAAATTAAGAAAAGTCTTGTGAGGTTTACTGTGTTGCCAGGTCTGTCTCCTGTGCTGCTGCCGAGATCTGTGATCTCATTTGCAGTTGTTTATCGGCAGAGAAGATACCCCTGATTTAGGGCAGTTCAGGCACTTTACCTTTCACGGTATTTTATGTTGTGGGGGGCAATACTCTTGTCAAAAGCATTTTGATACCTCTTACATTAAATAGGTAAAAAAGTCATATTCTAAAATACAATCCACAGTCAAATCACAGAAAAGGTGCCCTTTAGGATGTGAGCTTGTGGGTGAAAATTCTATGCAACTTTTCCAAGTCATTTTGCCTGTCTTTAATAATGTTTACGCAGCACTGTACTCACACGTGCTTCAAAATGGTTTTTTCAGCTTTGTAGTGCTTAATAATTCACATTGATATTAAATTCAGTATTAAGTGGCTGGGGTTTTTTTTGATAGGCCATAGAAAATGTATGGGCTGATGGCTGAGATTTTCATAGAATCGTAGAATCATTATGGCTGGAAGAGACCTCAAAGATCATCAAGTCCACCTGTATACCTGATGCCACCATGCCCGCTAAACCCACTAAACCATGTCTTGAAGCGCCACATCTAAACGTGTTTTGAACACCTCCAGGGACGATGACTCCACCACCTCCCTGAGGAGCCCGTTCCAATGCTTAACAACTCTAACAGTGAAGAAGTTCTTCCTAATATCCAGCCTGAACCACCCCTGGCACAACTTGAGACCGTTTCCTCTTGTTCTATCGCTAGTTACCGGGGAGAAGTGTTTAAAACACTTGAAGTCAGCAAGGGCAATAAAATTCATGGTATGGTTTCATGAGGCTGACGTTAACATCTCCGGTAGCAGATGGGTGTCGCATTGTGTCATTAGCTATCCTGTTCCTGAATAACCTGTTACGGAGCTTCAGAGGTGTGCACGGCTATTGCACAAGCGTGTGTTGTAGGTGACACAGCTGTGTAACTTTGTCAGGTATATTATTGCTTCTCTTTCGTGTCATGCACCAGTAACTTCTTAAAATATGAATCTGCGGCTTCAGTTTATAATCAATGCTGGGATCTACTCTACTAGAAAAGGGGGCTTTTGATAATTTTCAGCCATTTCTCCAAAATTTGATACCTTACTCAAAACTACATACTTCTTCCAGTTTTCAAATGATGCAGAAGTCTCCAGAGGGACCTAAATTAGGATCTTTAGGGAGAAAAGCAGGTAGCGAGGGAAAACTACAGGTCATGCAATTTTGGAGGGATATACTGCAGCTGTAATGTTCCCGTAGTATACAGGCGGAATGGTGCAGAGCTCAAAGACAAGCACATCGTGTGTACTCCTGTTTTCCTCTGAGTACTGTTTTATTTTTAGTCCTGCCTGTCACTGCCAAGGCAAATGTTGTACCCAACAAAGGGGCAGCTTACCAAGACAAGTTACAGAACCTTCTGTTTAGCACTTTTGCAACACAGAGCAATGGTATCTAAGATTAACACTGCAGATAGGTTTACCTTGGACTCTGCGGCAGTGCTTGTACTTTGTTTCTTCCATTGTAGGAAATACTTGGAATAATGCATGTATTTGAGGTAGCTAACTCAAAAATATCTGTGAAGTACCTTGCAGAGGCAAGGATACTCCTTGTCATCCGGACCAGAACACGGGCTATCTTATGAGCTGCCTCAGAGAGACTTCAAGTGGTGAAAACTTCTGTTAACACTTTGTTTAGGTAGACTGAACCATTATTTCTTGAAACAGGCTGCTTGGATCACAATGTCAGCCCTTTTAATGGGATATAAAGAAACATAATTCAAAGCAGCATCTTCTGTTGCATTTTATCTGTTGTGGTTCACCTCAATCCCAGTGCAGTGAAGTCCTTGTCTTGAAGAGTAAGTTCATTCTTAGGAAGGTTTAATTTCAGCCAACTCTTTTGTGTTCATCTACAGATGCCAGCTAAGGTAAATGACAGCAGTAGGGCTGTATTGTAATTTTGAGTGATTAGCCCTGTAGGAGCTGGTCTTGCTCATCTAAACAGAGAAGATGGGAAATGTGGTCTGAACCGAAGTGGTCTGAGGATGAAATAAGTGAAGCCTTCTTTGCAGAAAGATGGTTGCTTTTTAACTCCCTTACTAAAGAAAAAGTCTAAATGCTCTTAGGCTGTTTCCTCACGCCTGTGCCACAGATGATCCAAATGACTAACGGTCTTGCAAATTAGAGGGGGTAGTCTTTTGCTTGAAAAGCCACAGATTTGGGAGCATTGCAGACTTTTTACCTGTCAGCTATAGTCTGTTTTCTAATTGATATTTAATGACAGAGTTAGCTGGATAAACAAGTATTAGGATCATCAGAATTTATCCATGATTCTCTAGAGTGAATAATTATTTCTAGAGAAATAGAATGGAAGCTTATTTCAGGTGATAGCTCAGTCAAATCAGTATTTCACGTACAATGCATAAAATAGTTATGCTGTTGGAGCAGAGAAACAGCTTTTCTTTTATACAGTTAGAGAGAGGTTTAAACAAATTTTCATCAGTTACATTTGTACTCCTTTTGTGTTCCATTTCCAGGAATATTTGAACAAGTCAAGCTTTTCTGGTAAAATTTCACTAAAAGCAGACTTCAAAGCTTCCTGTGTGAAGAGCAGATAATGAAATTGGATACTGATTTTGTAATGCTGGAGAATCTTGTGTCCTCATCCATTCAGAAAACAGAAACAGTGCTGTATGACTTAAGTGACTGACCATAATGATCTCAAAGAAAGCTTTCTCAAGGTCCATTTTGGCCAATGTGCCCTATTATGTAGCATGACTTTGAAGTACCTTGGGCCATCCGTGTAAAAGAGTTGGGTGGTTATAGACTGATTTAGCGGTATTAGGTTTTAAATGAGGAAGTAATGTCCCATGGACTTGGGGACTGCACTGAAGCTTAGCAAAGTAGCCCCATGAGTAAAATAACATGAAATTGCTTCAGAAACCCAAGACTGAAGGACTTGAGAGATTTACCTTTCTAGGTCTCCATTCAGTGTCCATTTTCATTAAGTGAATCATTTAACTATGTGTTTAACTTTAAACAGGTGTCTAAGTCCCATAAGGGGTAGAGTACGTACAGCAGAATACGCACTTAACTGCTTTGCTGAGCCACAGCCTTAACTCTTACCTACTCTTTCCATATTTTTTTGTTTATGTGGAAAGAAGACTTGTCTTGGATATGAACCAAAAGACAATTTTAACCCTTCTGCCAGCTACTTTCAGACACATTCATCCTTCCCATGCTCAAATCTGCTGATCAGTGTCTCTGAATGTTTGCCTGGATTAAAAAGGATGTTATTTAAAAAGTGTGGCTAATGTGATGTGGTGAACGTGATCTAGCTAATACATTTACAAAGCTGAGAGAAGGAAGATGATGCATACTTTAACATGAGTTAAGCTGATCAAGTAAAAAACTATCGATTTTTGGAACACATTAGTGGGAAGCACAAGCTGATACTGTCTAGTGCACCTTCAGATTTCAGATGAGAGCAAACCCAAATTATTCCAGAATAGCTGGCTCTATGAAACTGTATGAGTTTGAAACTTTCAGGATATGAACGAGTATAATAGTTGCTTGGTTGTGTTTTGCCATAACAGTAAGTAGGTGCTGTCAAATGATAAGTGGCAGTTTCTTTTGTGACTCACTTTTCCTGACTTGCCAGCTGGCTTATATGCTTTCCCTCAGTTGGGTGGAAATGTTTTTCACTTACTGAATTGTCAGTGCTTCAAGATTTTCAGATCTGACACTGGAGATCTTTGCAACTCATAATTTTACTAATGGGTTGTGTTAATGTACCAATTTTTAAATTCGTGGGAGAAATTTATGTCACTCTTGTAGCATTTATAAAATGATGACTTAGTTAAATGGATGTGCAATTAACCAGCTAAAAAATAATTGTTAGAAAGACTCTTTTGGCCAGAGTATGTCACAAAACTCTCGGCTCATTTATCACCAGCTGCATCCATTAATTCAGCACTGCTTGGCACTGTTTAACAGGGGCTTCTGAAACATCACATTTTAAATTTAATAAAATACAAAGAGCTTTAGAGCAGGAATAGGCTGGTTTAAAATACTTAACTGTTTTTCAGAAACATGGTTCACATTTTTTGACTTTCTCCCCCCTCCTGCTTTAGATTTCTGTCTATTGAATATGACTATATGTGAGGAGAATTATCCAGTTGTAAATTGTGGAGAACTTACAGATTGCTATTGGTGATACGGTCTGAGCACTAAGAATGTCAAGATGTCGCGGGTCTCTGCTTCTCCCAGACAATTTTGGTAAAACAATTGTATCCTGTCAGTCCAATCATTTATCCCAAAGAATCATTGCTACAGCTTTGGTGTACCATTTTCTAAAGAGCACAAATTTGTTCAAGTTGCTATCTTACAAGACACTGCTAAATATTAAGCAGACGGTTTTCATTCTTGGTAACTTACAACCTATTTTCCGTGATCATCAGATAAGGACTGGTGTTCAAACCTAATTTGGTCCACATGATATATAATGTATATGCACAACAGAATGAAAGTTCCATTTGTTAATAAGGCAAGTGAAAAGAGAAGGGGAAAAGAAAAATCTTTGTTAGCCAAATATGTCACTTGTTTAAGTTCTAAAAAGTGTTGTACTCTTTTATTCTCCTTTTTCCCTTTCTCCAGTTTATCGAGGTTTCTGGACAGTTCTTATGCTCCTGGGAGTGCTCACTATTGTGATGGCTAGTTTCTTCATCATCTGTGCAGCTCCTTTTGCCAGCCACATTCTGTACAAAGCAGGAGGAGGCTTTTTCATCATTGCTGGTGGGTATACTGTTTGCTCAGTCAATTAAAGAATAGAAAGGATGAGGTATTTCTTCCATTTTCTGTGACCAAAAATTATATTAATCATGGTTAAAAGAAAGAAAAAGCATGTGCTTCTGTCCTTTGCCTTGTGGACTGCCTGCCTTGGAGACAACTCTTTCCGGAGTTATTTAGTCATGAAGCTATTCTAAAAGCTACCTTTGGATTAAGATAAAAAAAAATCCAGGACAAATCATGGAATTACACTGCAATTCAATCTACTTTTTTAGCAGGAAAAAGAATGCATATTTAGGGATGCTGCCTTGTAGGATTCTCAAGGGCTTTAGCTAAGGAAAGTTTTGTTTTTTTTTATCAGTGACACAAAAGGTGATTACGGTGGGCTCTAAAGAAGTTTGAAGACAGAGCACATTCACATGACACATATAGGTGAAATGTTTTGGATGTGATTGGAGTACACAAAATAGTTGTCACCTATGAGTAAGTGGTAGCTCTAAACCTCTGTGAATGAATGATAACAAATAACTGAATTCCCTTCTTCCTCATAACTCACACGTACTATGGAGAATGCCCCCTCCCAGGATTCAGCTGATATGGACAGCTCTCTGGGATGCTGTTCGGTTAACCTTGAAAAGTCTGAGAAGTTGTCACACTGGTGTGTAAGATTCAGTTGTGTGGGATGTAAATGATATTATGTGCTCAACCACTGTTCTCCTTTCTATAAAGCCTGGTGAGAGGCAGCCCTGCGAGAGCAGGTTTGTCTTACAGGGTAGAGCCACTCGTGTCAGGACCAAAAGGCCTGGGGTCTCTTTCTGCTTTTGTTACTGACCTGCTGACCTTGCTTACCCACCTCACCTCGCAGCTCTTCATATGCAGCTAGTGATCATTATTCCCTTTTAAAGGACCTTCAGTGAAGTGCAGGAAGGATTTTATAATATTTTTGCTGAAAAAAAACTCCTGCATACTTGCATTTGATCCCTTGAGAATTACTCCTCCACACTTTTAAAAGACATACAAAAAATATTCATAGTCTGATGGAAACCCTAAGATATTTCAATGCTTTCTGTCACTAATTTGCAGGGTAAGAGCCCATGTGAGTCCTGCTCTTTTTCTGCATTTGTAATCTGTAAAAAACCTCAGCTGTCACTAGAAAGTAGCAGAGGCTGTTAGAGAGGAAAAGGGCACTTGAAAGACGCCAGGAACCGACGGGCAGAGGCGCGAAGCGACGTGTGTGTTCTCCACTCTGGGTCAGTTAATCTGCCCTCGTTTAGGCAGGAGAAAGTTAGATCCCCAAGTCTGTGCTAGTCTCCCTTGGCTTCCCTAGGAGGCCTGCAAGAGGCAATAACCTTCATTGGCAGTAAAAACACTAGGTATGTAAGAAGTTCCCCCAGCTGGGGATTCATTTCATCCTGAAAGAGGGGCCTAATTGGATCAGATGAATGCACCGCGGAGGAACCCTACACTTCTCTTTCCTTTACCGAGGGAATCTAGAGAGACTATTTTTTTAGGTGTGTGAAGTTAAGTGAGCTTTACTATCCCAGTGTGTGACCTTAGGCCTGTCTCTTTGCCCCTCTCACCCTTTGTCCCTATAGAGCAGATGTTCTTCAAGGGAAATCCTGACTTTTTACTCTTTGTATATGCAGTATCTTTCAACTTCAGGACTGTTCTCAATCAGAGCTTCAGAGAAGAGCTGTGTTATTTTTTCTATTGCCATTCTTGTTGTTGAAAAGCAAAGATATTTAGCAAAATCCTGCTATGATTTGCCAAAAGGTAGTGGTGGAAGCAGAATATAGGACCCTGGAGCCACTCAAATTGGACAAGACATTTTGGCTTGGGTAGGGGTTTCTCAGTAGAAGTGTATGAGCCTCCTTCATTGCTCTGTCCCACGTACATGCTCTCCATTCCTTTCCCCCTGCTTATCTGGAGGCTTTGATGTCCATCTGCCAATGGTCCTTGCTTGCATCTCTTCTCGCAAGGTTACTGAGCCTGTTGCTCTTTCCCCACCTTGTCTGATGGATCTCACCTCTCCCCAGCAGTCCTCATATCTCAAAGAGGGTCGCGTGGTCACAGAAGCCAAAGCGCTGCTTGTGACACTAGCTACAAAGCTAGCAGCTGATGCACAGTGCATACCAACTTTTGTAGAGTTTTTATCCTTTGGGCAGCAGGTTTGAGACCATCATCACCTGGGCCCCATGCCCTTACCTCTCACCCTCCAGAGCTCTGTAATTACCCACTCAAGGTCTCTCTGCCAGCATCACTGGTGCCCATGTGGATGAACTGCAAAGGGTCTCCAAGGGCCAAGAGAACCTCAGAAACTTCTCCATAGTGTTGCATATCTAGGGCCCAGAATAGCAGCAAACCTATCCACAGGGCAATTCTGATGTCTGGTCTGTGGCAGAGTCACACACCTGCCTTTTCTTCCTCCTGATCTTTAAGAAAGGCTGCCCACTTCTCCTACTGAGTGGTTCAGCTGAACTACTGCAAATGGAGAGGCACACACAATTAGTCATTTGTATTGGTGGCAGCTTATTGACTAGCGGCTTTCCCTATTAAGCTTTGTAACCACATTAACTACCTGAGGCTGCAGGTGAAACTACAGATGCTACACCTTTGGGGAAAAAGTGCGTATTAGTTCAGCGATACCACAGTCAGTGACTTTGCATCCTCACCTCCATGTCTGCAATATCAGAGGATGGACCAAGAGCAGCTACAGTAGTGCAAACTGTAAGAAGCCTTACAGTTGATTCAAAGGTCATAGGAAAAGAAGTGAAAGCTGCTGTAAAATAATCACTTAGAGCAGCCTTCAATAAAGTCCGTAATTACCTTGGGCCTGTTCCTGCCTGGACGGTGGTGAAAATTGTCCTCTTGTACTGATGTCAAACAAGCAAGCCCCTAGGATGTGCACAGAGCATTAGAGAATCACACCCTTGTGAAGAAGCAAGATTAGAAGTACGACTTCTGCTTCCTGCCAAAAGAGTGAAAAAAGCTGATATTTTAATTCTAGCTCCTAGATGAGGACAAAAATCTGTCTTCAGAGATATGTGCCAGCTCCCATAACTTTTAAGTGTGATCCTCTGCACGTACTTCAGAGTGGAATGTCAACCATACTTTTTAAATAAAGGTCACAAGAGGCCAAGGTAGGTGGTAGAATCTGTAACGAGGACAAGGAAAGAAAAACGCAATTGAAGAAAAAAATATATACACACACATACAAGTTTTCTTCAAGTGAGATAAAGAGTTCTCAACTTCTAGGCACAAGTAAAAAGCTCACATCATTCTTTCCAGCACCTGTTGTCTTCGTGTCTGCATAGTAAAAGATTCATGCATAAACAGCCATTCACCATTGACAAGTGAAAGGCATTTCTACGTGGGAAGAATAAGTACTAAAGGCCAGCAAACTGCTTCTTGAATTTATAGACATTTCTAAAGGTTCTGTATTCTTTCTCCTCTGCAATATGCACAAGTATTTGTTTGAAAGAAATTCAAAAGAATAAATGCAAAAGACAGAAAAGAGCGACCTCAGAGAAGTCCACGTCTTATCACGCTGCACAGAGCTGTGTATCAAACATGTGTGTTCTTAAAAAAATGCAAAATGGAAAAAAAGAAAGGAAAAGAAGGAGGAGGGAAGTATTTATTTGTCTTAATCTCTCTCAGACATATTTCATGTTCTAGGAATAGTTTCCCCCGTCATTCCCGATTCATGCAACTGCTGTTTTATTTTATATTCACTAAAAGGCAAGGGCAAATGGACAACCGCACACTATGCAAAAGGTCTAAATGCTGAAAATGTAGAAATACATCGTAGCACACATTGTTCCTAAAAATATTTGCTTCATGAGATTGTGAAGGGTTTTTTCAATCATCTCAGTAATTTTGCCTTAGAGCTTGGCTATGAGAGTTCATGACATTCACAATAGATAGTCAGTGCAAGGCTGCAGGAACCGATTTCCCAGAATAAATATATATTCTGTAAGGTCCTGACTAAGTGCTTAACTCCCATGAAATCATAACTCTGTGAAAATTAGACAAAAGGAGCACTAATGAATGAAATGCTGTTGGAGGCAACAGGACATGGTCAGTTTTTACTTAGCCTAATTCTACTGTTCACGACATTTCTTGAACACACTAAGCAATATACCTACTAATTAGCCTCCATTAGCTGATAGTGAGAACCCTTAAATACTCCTTTAGTGCCTTAATTAACTAAGAGGGTTTACATATTCTCCCTTTCTTTTTCTTCTCTTTTAAAGAAGGACATTTATCTCTGCTTGACATACATGTCTTCAGCAAATTTCCATACCCGACAATTTGCCACACACAGGTATTAACAGCTTGCTGTGAAATCACCCCATGGATTTTAGCTTCCCTGAAGTTGTTTTACCACTGGCAGCACTGGCTCTTTTCCACCTACATGGTGTTGGCTCTACTTTAACCACCTAGAAGGTGTTGCTTCAGACTACCTGAAGAGTAAGGAGTGCCCATTTCGAGATTAAAGCACCTCTGACGGAGTCTTGTTTTAATGGCAGATGCTTCTGACTAATGAGGCTACTTAGCTTTGTATCTGCCTAGGGTTCCAGAGGTCATTCCAGATGTGCAAGACCTGGTTATACTTCCCTCCTGCTATAGTAAGGGAATATGCATCACTACTTTTTGTAATCGTTATCATTTTGGACTAAGTTTTCCCAGATGCAGAGACTAAATAGAAGACTACAGACATTTGAAAATGCACAGGTACAGCTATCTGAAGAGATAAATTCCAATGTTCATATGGATTTCACCATATTATTAATGTATCTTTTCAAATCTTTGGACTATAATTTTTTTTTTTTGGTTGAAGTTTTGAAACTTTGAACAAACTCTAATACCTCCATTTATGCATTTGGCCCTGATTCTTTTTACTTTTTACATCAAAAGTTACTGACTCTGTTTGGTTCTAATTTTCCTATGTTGCCTACATTATCTGTTATCATTAGATGTTCTGTTATAGGAATCTTCTGCTAAATTTGTCTTATATTTGGAGAGTCTTCAATTTAATTTCTTATTCTTTATGTCTGGCCCTAAGGTGATCCTCCTCTCTGACTGTTTCACTGATTTTATATTTAATACAAGTACAGTACTAAATTCCATCAAAATTGAATTTTACTGAAGTAAAATACTTTCAAAATTGATTTTATGCATTTTAGAGTTGAGTGTTGATTTTTTTCAAACTTTGTTAGGAATTTGAGCCCTAGCAAAAAATGTAATACTGGAAGTATATTTCATGGACAGGAAATGTGTCTACCTCTTTCTTTATTTAGTTTTCTACTTTCTTTCAGCCTCATAAAAATTGCAGATCCTTTGGGATTTTCAGTGTCGTTTTGATTATGAATCAAGTTAACTACTTTAGCTCTTTTTTTGGTGGGCTTCAAAACGAAGTGTTCACAAGCACTGAGTTGTGAGCTCTCACCTATCAGATGTTCAGGATGTGCAGAATGTAAAGCTATCACATTTTGACCATAAAGCACCAATAAGAATAAGAAAGGTAACCATGAAAGGTTATGAGGACAGGTGGATCTGGAAGCAAATGTCTGTCCATGGGTGCTTCAAAAGTGCATTTCTGGGTTTTGCCACAAGTGTCACATCTGTTCAAGCTTGCATTGTAAGTATTTAGGAGGATGGGGAAGAGACCACAAATACCTTTGGCTTACACTCTGCGGCTCTACAGCCTGTAGTTTGGCAATAAGTGTTCCCAGGAGTATGCGCTGGCTTGTGGTTTTAATGAGGCACCTAAACATCCCGGGATAAAAACATGATGGGGTGGTGTCCCCCAAATATTTTAATGTTGGAATAGGTAGTCCTGCTGCTGTAACTGTGCCATGACAGCTGAAGATCAGGGAGCAAGTGGGTACAGGCTGGAGCATGCAAATAATTCAGACTTGTGCCCTCAGTTTTCCAGCAAATCTTCTGCTGGAGCATCTGTGCTGCATTTCTGAAGGCTTGCATTTCTCAAGTGTCCACATACCTCTAAAGTGAAATGAAATATTAGGAATGCAACTGATACTTTGGAAAGCACTTTATTCTTATATCTCCTTCTGGTGTATAGTAACAGAGAGATTAACAAAGTTTGTAGGGACATGTGCTCCTATTACTATCATGTGTAAACCATCCAAAGGCCTTTCAGAGGAGTGGCTGGGAAAAGGCTGTGAATTATGTGGTGGATTAATTCCAGGAAACTGTTGTATCCAGTCTGAGGTTAATACTAATAGCCTGCTTCACAGCTATTATTTCATTATTGTTGGGTTTTGTTCCTGTATCAGGAACTTCTTTTCTAATATGGAGGATTTTGAATTAAATACATCTGAATTCGTCTGCAAAATATTTGAGTAGGATACTCTGAAGGTAGTGTGTTCCAAACAAAGCCCTCTTCATAAGAAAAAAGAAGCAAACGTAGAGAGGTGAAGATGATAGAAAGATTCCCCACCCTTTTCCCCTTTTCATATCTCCTCCAAAAGACTGTGATATAGGGAAAAATGTCAGAGTTTGGGAGGCAAAAGTAGGTATTTTTTTTCCAGGTTGTCCCATCCCGTCCCCCCTCCTTGGCTCCTGATTTCAAAACTGTAAATACTTACCTGAATTTTGTCCCTAAACACACCAGTGTTTCAGTCTAGCTACCAAAACCAGATACATCCTTTGTTGTGGGCGTATGCCTTTCAGTGCAAATCAGAAGCAAAATGGAGATAGTGCTTGTTAGAGGAAGCCAAAGGCAAAAAATACACAGTGGTGGCTGACTGTGGGTTTGATGGGTTTCTAGGTATTACAGTAAATGCACCCAGCGTTTGTCTCACATTCTGCTGTTGAAACCTGGTGTTTCTTTTCCAGGTGTCTTGTTTTCGCTGGTGGTCGTGATGTACGTCATCTGGGTCCAGGCGATGGCTGATCTGGAAAACTACACAAACATGAAAAAAATGGATTGCCCAGACTTTGCTGTTTATGTACGTTATGGCTGGGGGTTTTTTGTTGTCTCCTCTAGAGGAATTTTAAAAAAAATGCTGTTCTTGTTGGTAGGACGTGCCATTTATTTACACTCAGACTAGTCATACGCTGCTGAAGGGAATACAGGAATCCCAGTGAAACTTCATGACAATTGTAAACTGGAACACAGTTTTATACACTATTACCATTATGGCAATCCTAAGTGTGCAGGCAGACTTCTGGAAATCCTTCTGTTACTTGTTTAAGGATAAAGGACACAGAACTCAATACAGGAAGAAACCACCTTTAGTCCAAATAGTTGTTTTTAATTATTTAGAAAGTACACACGTGTTCTCCATATTAGCAGGTATACTATTAATAGCATTCTTACAGTTTTGCAACCAGAGGAAAGCAAAAATTTTCTGCCACCAAAAGCCCAACATGAAGTGGGCCAAATCAACATTTTATACATTTGTCTTTTAACATTTACTTCATGTTTCTGCTTGTGGAGAATGGTAGAAGGTAGAGGAGAAAACAAACATTCAAACACAGTAATTCAATCTACCTCCTCTCCTGTTTTCCACTACTTGCCTTAGCTTTAATAAAAGCAAACATGTCTGCACTTTATAAAAATAGAGTGCAGTTGTTCCTGCAGCATCCATGGGAAGAGGACGAGAGAGAAGACAATTGCCGTGAACAGTGACCTGGTGCTAGTCCGTACATTTAAAAGCTTAACTACTTCCGTTACACATTTCTCTTTTCTGTAAGCATTTGAAAGCCGTATACTTCTGTATGCTGAAATCCATGTTTGTTGCATGATTTTATAAGCCAAAATGCCGTAGTTAAATCACTAGTTGAAGCTATGCCAAAATTGTACTTTGAATTATAGCATTAATATTTTAATCAAGTTTTAACCCTTTTATTTTTGGATGGAATAATTGGCTCCTCCAACAAACGTTTTCCTGGTTGTGTAAAATGACTTTTTTATTAAAAAAAGTTTATTATGAAGACAATATCTAGGACACGAAAACGTATGTTTTATGTAGCTTTCATTTTCCCAAACATTAAAAATCTGCATATAGACCAAATCCAACTTGCCTACTACTGATCGCAGGGAAGGCAATGAGCCTAGCTAAGACAACAGGGGAGATGGATTTGGTTCCATATTGTAGGAGTGGCTGTTTCTCTGTGTATGTATGTGTGTGTGCGCACATATGTTTGGAAGATGGGGTAAAGATGGGACTGTATGCATGGTATGGAAAAGATCGAGTGCAGTTTGAACAATTGGGAAACTTTGTCTGGCATTGGGCCCAAGTTGAAATTAAATCCGTCTGCGAGTGTGTTGGTTTTCACTTTGTAACTCAATGCAGAATAGTTTGGGACTGATGGGGAAAAGTAAAGACTGGTTTCTTCTTGTTCATAATGCTTAATTCCACAGCTGTTACGAATACTGAAAGCATCACTAAAAGGCAGGAAAGGAGTGCCTACCTAGAAGATGTGGTGGGCCAGATTGGATGTTGCTTCCATTTTGGGAACTTTTGTGATTGGAAGTTTTCCAGCCTTCCATGCTACTTATTTATTTTTCCATCATCAAGATTAGCTTTATACATTATAGAACAGGAAGACAACAAGGGCAGGGGGTAAGGGAGCTAGGATTATGAGGTTTGGAATAATTACTGAATCACAAAAATATTTTTATTGGCAGCTAACATGGTGTTTTTAATTACTGTGTCATAGAGTATGATGGCTGAATTTTAACCAAATATTCATAAGCACATATATGAACTCCATATAAATGGTAGCCATCCGGAGAACATTAGGGTTACACTATAATGCCCTCGGTTAGTCAGGAAATGCTGAAATTAACCCTGCCCCTTGTGCATATGGTATTATATTCCAGCCCTTAATTACACAATCACATACTGTTTCTCAAATAATACAATCTGTTGGTATTTACCCCCTTTACAATCTAGGATACTCACTGGTAATTGTGGAGGTAAATTCAATAATCAAGAGTTATTTGACTAGGTACCCCTCCCAAACCCCGTCTGCTTCTCTGCAGGGGAGAGTCCTTCTCCACAAGAGCTCAGAGGGGGCAATATGCTTCAGCCGCTTTCTTGCAACTTTTAGAAGCTGGAGGAATTGAGAGGTGCCTCAGAGCTGGACTTCCTCCAGCAAACCTAACCATGTGTGCAGCAGCAACTAATAAACTCTGCAAGGAATGAGCCAAAGGCTCCCGTGGAGCCCTTAATTCAGCCCATGTGCATCTTCAGAATTCTCCTCATTATGCAGCTAAATTAGTTAGACTCTCGTGTGCGAGGCAGCCTCTCTTGGAGGCAACCCTTCGCGTCAGACTGTAGACATCATGGCTGTTGAAGAGCCAAGGTGTTCCTGAGGGTTTCCTCAGAAACTTCAGGAAGCCTTTCTGGCATCAGTAGAAATTGCTTGAGTACTCATACATTCTTCACTCAAACTCATGCTTTTGGCAATTGTCTGTAGCTCTATCAATTTGCTTTAATTGGATACCATCTTCTTCTCCCAATGGCAGAACTGAGAGTCAGGTTCTTTCTGAAATGGTGGGGACAGGTAGCTTACTCCCTCCAAAACACGTATGTGGGTAAGCACATGATGTGTAATAAGTAGCTGCTGCAAACCAGGGAATGGTGGCGAGGGTGGTGGGGAGGCATTTCCGAATGGGTATTACCTAGAAGCACAGTCTAACTCTTGTTCTTCTGATTTCATTAAATAACTCGGTGAAGACAGGCCAGCTAAGGAGACTCGCTCTGTGGCATTCTTCCAGATATCCTTTTGTCTAGAAAATCCTTGGCGCCGATGCAGGGATTTTCATGATTAGAGCTGAGTAAAAGATTTTAAAGAGGTTTAAATACTGTAATCAAAATATTCTGTGAAATTGGTCAAAGAACTGTGTTCCTCACAAATCTGTAAGTTCTTTTTGTTTGTTTGTTTGTTTGTTTTAATTGCCTGGCTGGCTTAATAGCCTGTGGTCATATTGGAAGAAAAGAGATTTATTTTTTTTTTTTAAGTGACATGTTTGGAAAAGTGATGGTAAAAGGAACAGGTGGATAAGAAGCATTTTCTGGTTACTTTCCATCTGACAATCTTCCGCTTGTCCAGAGCAAACATAGCGAGGACTGTGACTGCCCACAAAGGAGGCAGTGAGAAAATGGGCGGATGGAGGTGAGGAAGGAGGGAGAGAAAGGAGGGTGAGGGTCCCTCCATGATGCCCTCTGCCAGCCCGCTGTGCAGCTGTTGTGGATTCCTGAGGGATGCTGACACAGCAGGGTAAAGGCAGCTGCGGCCAGAAACAGTCAGAAAAGGATTTGCCCCAGGTTTATTCTTGTTACTCATTGGGGTGGCTGCTGGAAGTTTCACTGGAGCTGACCTTCATGAAATATGTGGCTGTTTATTGACATTTACATTAGTGAGGTGGAGCAATGTTCTCCTTCAAGGAAATGAAAAATAAAACCTGCTTTATTTCTCTGCAGGGCGCCTAGCTGCTGCAACTGAGACTGTACTCTATAGTGTGGTAGTAAACTGCTAGTAGGACGATCAGAAGTAGTGTCTGTATTGCTCTCCTCATTCTTGCAAAATCCAAACTGGCTACAAAGTATGTTGTGCTTATTGTCTTTTAAGAAGTCATACTGAACCTCTTAAATGAGCTATTTACCTTCTGATGCAGCAGCTGGGTTTTCCTCTGGCTCTCCTGTTCCTGTCTGTCCTTTCAGCAGTGTCATTTCCAGGCAGTGAAGACTAGATAAAGTATGTTCACATGAAATTCTGCTGTATTAACTTAGAGTAAGTCTGGACTGATGCTGCCGAAGTTGATGTTGACGCTGAAATTGAAAACAGAAGTCAGTCATCTATAATAAAAAGTGACAGAAGGGATGAAGAATCACAAGTATTTACAGTACCACTTTTCCCGCCATGTCTCGTAATCATGTTACCAGTTTAAACTGGTCTGTCTTTCCAGTCCACAATGTGGCTCGTTTCCCCAGGAGACACGTTGGCAATAGGGAGAAGGAATGGAGGGCTGGCAGCATCTTCTGTATTGAACACCTCCAAACTCTGCACCTGATTTTGCCCCTACATCCCAAAGAACCCAGAGGGGCCTCACGGAGTGCTTGCAAGGCTCCACATTTTGGTGTGAGGATAAGGGGAGGGCCTGGAGCAGAAGTCATCCCGTGTTATTTGCAGTAGATCTGTTCCTTATCTGTTCCTAAAAACTGCCAAGAGTGTGTTTGGTACAAACTGGAGGGAGCCTCTGCACAGGGCAGGTGCCTTTCATACTGGGAAGCAGCCACTCTGAACTGGTTGCGGCAAGGGGATGGCCTCAGCGGTGGTACTTCACATTTGGCACACCATTCCCCCCCACCTTGTGTCCAGGTCCCCAAGGAGATGTTCTCAGAAATGACCTGCACATGATTCAAGTTTTAAACCGGTTAAGAAAAAGACCGTAAATTAATGCTTCTTTAAGATGGAAATACATTTGAAACAGAAAGAAACCCAGAAAGATAATGGAAAACGTTCCCCCCTCCTTTTCTGTACCACATCAGATTGACTTATCCTCTGTTATGTGGCTTTACTTTGAAACAGATCATTCTCATTGCAACACGTTTAATGCTGCCAGCCACCACATGGTTATTTGGCAGCTATTTAAAGCTCAGATCGTATTACTCTGTCGCAGTGCTACGCACCCATGTTCCAACTGGTATACAACTGATCTAAAGAGAAATCAGCTTCAGGTTTTGTTCTCTGAAATTAAATGTGACGGCATGATCTCTATGATCCTTTTTTTCCCCTTTTCTCCTTTTTTTTTTTTTTTTTCCATATGCATTATTACTTTTTGGAACAGCGTTTTGCTAGCACCACAGGGGAAATTCAGTTAGGTTGTCAGCCTGATATAGTGTATTATCAGACACGTTAGCTTTTCCTCCCTCTTACATTTGCTTAAGAGCTTATAAACCACAGAGAATAAAAAGTGCTAAATAGAATGAAATGACCTGTCAAGGGTAGATATACTATTTGTGAATGACTTAAAAAAATTCCACCAGCTTCAAGCACTCCAGTCTCGCTGACTGTCTGGCTGTCTTGAAATTTGGCC